CCTCTCCCTTCCCCTCCCCGCGGGCCTGGGGCTGGACCGGGCTGCGGCCGCCTGACTTCGCCGTCTTCTTCCTCGCAGGCTCTCGCTGCCGGGCTGCGCTGGGACTCCCTCGGCCCCCCGCGGCTGACGCGCCGCCTGGCCACGCTGCCGCCCGGAGACGGGCCCAGGACGCGCCCGTCCAAGCCGGGGGTGAGAGCATAAGAGTCGCCTTTGCCCGGGGCAGGGCGCGGGCCCGCGTGGCGCAGCTGCAGGAGGAGGAGCAGGTGCTGCGAGCGAGGGGTTGGTTTCTCTGCTGCTGCTCCTCTGCCCGGCTGCCGCTGCCTTTCAGGGCTAGGGAGCTCTGCTTCAGAGGCTGAGCCCCTGGCTCCCGAGCCCAACTGCTGCTGGTGCTCTTTCCTCCAAAAATGTATCTAGTCCTTTTCCGAATCTGGCTAAACTGTGTCAGCTCCCACAACGTCTGGTGGCAACAAGTCGCACACTTGAATGAGACTCTGGGGAAACAGACCTTCTTTTTGTTAGTTTTAAACTGCCCGCCTGCCTGCTGGCATCATTTTGTGACCCTGCGTTCTTGTCCTGAGAGAGAGTAAATAGTAAATCCCTGTTTGCTTTTTCTTCACCATTTAGTAGTTTGTAAAACCTCGTCTCTTCGGTCTCCTCATATGAAGCCCCTCCATAGCACTCATCATCCTTGTTGCCCTTCTCTGCACCTTCTCTAGTTTTTCTATGTAGTTTTTGAGGCGTAGAGGCCAGAACTGGGCACGGTATTCAAGGTGTGGATGCACCGTGGATTCACAAAGAGGCATAATGATACTTTCAGTTTTGTTCACAATGCCATTCTTAATCCCTAATATTTTGCTTGCCGTGCACTGGGTGGGAGGACTTGGGCTGAGCCCAGGCCCCCTTGCCAGGTGTGGCAGCTCCAGGGGCCCCAGCAGCTCATGCTGGCAGCCTGCACAGTGGGGCTTTTTCAGTCCTGCAGGCTGGGGGTTTACACACAGCCATGCCTAGCTGCAGGCATGGATGGAAGCGGGGAAACCAGCACAGGCTCTTAACCAGCGCATTCAGCGTCTTGCTGGGCTCCAGCACGGGAAGGAGACACTCAGTTCATACAGAGTCTCTCTCCCAGTAGCCAGTTTCCTGGACGTCCCTGGCAGTCACGTTTGCAGTCGGAGGTGCTCTGCTGGCAGGCATGAAGTACTTGAAGAAAGAAAAAGAAGAATGTAAGTTTAATGTCATCATCCTGACATCTCTGATCCTGCTTAGAGCCTTCATGAAGTCAGGACTGCATGTATGGCGTGTGACAGCTTACTACCCCAACAGCTTCCTGTACAAATAGATCTGGAAACAGGATGCAAATTGATTTATTTTTCTCGTCACTCCAATTTTAGTTTTTGTACTTGTTTATTTTGCTCGGTATTTTTAGTCTTTGCCCGTGGTTCTTTAACTAATAGCCTTTTTCTCGCTCTCAATTCATATTTTTATAAATTCATACTTCTCTACACCAGCTCCAGATAATACTCATGTAATGGATAGCTGTGACATCTGCCTTGCTAACTTATGTGTCCTGGAGAATGAGGCAATATAGCCTCCTGGCACTGTTCCTGGAGTGCTTGACCTTGCTTATTGCCATTCCACGCTGCTCTAGGATAGCTAAAAGGCACTCACTAAAAAGAAATGATTTCTTCTGTCCTAATCCAATTTTGGTACATGCCTCAGTGCCATCTTTGCAATTAAAACTTTTGGAGCCTTATGGGATATTTTGTTTAGAAAATATCACAAACTAAAGGTTCTCTGTTTATCGGTTTGACTTTTCTTGTCTGGGAGCTTTTTGAAATTCTAGGTGTCGGTAAGCTTTGGTTCTGTCAGGTTGCCTTATCAGTCTTTGAGGATTTCTCAATGTTTTCTGTTCTCTCATGTATGGTGTATTAGGCAGTAAACTTCCATTATTTCCTTTCAGTGCTGGAGAAGGAGCGAAAGCGATCACTGGGGAAGCCTTTGCTGGGAGGCCCTTTCTCTCTCGTCAATCATGAAGGGCAGCCAAGGACCAACAGTGACTACCTGGGCCAGTGGGTGTTAATCTACTTTGGCTTCACACACTGTCCCGATATCTGTCCAGAGGAACTGGAGAAAATGATTCTAGTGGTGGATGAAATTGGTAAATCCAGTCTGAACTTTAATTGGAGGGAGGGAGGGAAGAGCATCCTATTTCAGGAAGAGTTCATGTTACTTATTCAGTAAGAGCTGTGTTGTTCAGAATGGGGAACATGTTTGTCTGTTTGTTTGTTTATAAGCTACTTTTCTCAGTCTTTCTTAGACTCTATCTTAGGTCATACTGGTCTCCTGCTTTGATCTTGGGAGAGGCTTATTCTAATCTAAAACATTCAAATGCGGCCTACTTAGAGTGAGGATTGGTTCTCATCAGTCTCCTGTACTTGGTATTGGCCTTTGAATATGCTGTGGTACTGCTAGAAGGCAGACACCCTGTCAGTGCAGCCTAATTGTGACCACTAAGGCAGCTTCTTCATTAAGAGGAGAATGGCTTTGTTGTTGAAAATGTGCTTCCCTTTAGACCTGGGCAGTGTTTGTGTTGAAGAGGTCTCTCTGCTTTTTTCATTCAGTTACAAAGCACTTAAATTATTTTGCATTTGGTCAATTATTGTAGAAGCAGGGATTAGTGTAATGTACTCCAAAATCTTATAGGGCAAGAATTGAGTAGCGATATAGCTTGTGTTGACTATATTCATGTGTATATGATGATTTAACAATGCACTATCCATTCTGACAACTGTTACCCTCACTAGTGATCAGAGGTGGCAGCTCTATCAGGTGGCAAACTGTCATAGTTAGTTAGTTGAGGGATCCCTTTGATGTCTCTTTCACAGGAATATTGCTGAAAGTGTCTCTTGGATCCTGCTTTGGATGGTTTACTGCAGCTGGGTTCAGTCAGTAGCTGTGTAGTAGCATAAGACAATCGCGAAGAAATCTAGGCTATCCAACTGTGAGGTCTGTGACTCTAGGACTCCTGTTGTTGTGGGGCAAGGTGTGCTGTGACCCCTTATCCTTACGGTAACAGTAAATTCCCACTGTCACTTTGCATATCCCTGTTAAAAGTTTACTGACAGTGCCCATTTCTGGAGGAGCTTCTGCAAAGGTCTAAAGTGTAACTGGTCTATAGCAAAGTCGTTTGGTTCTCGGGAAAAGGTGGTTTCTGGTATCCTGAATACACAGATCCCCAGTGGGACTGACAGAGTTTAGTATTAGTCTGATTTCATAGACATTAGGGCTGGAAGGGACCTTGCAAGATCATCGGGTCCAGCCCCCTGCCCAAGGGGCAGGAAATCAGCTGGGGTCAAATGATCCCAGCAAGATAAGCTCAATGATCCATTTAGGTCCCTTCTGACCCTAGGATCTCTGAATCTACATTAAAGAGTACAGGTCTGACTATGGAGCCCTGGGGCACGCCACTGGTTGCTGTGCGCCATGTTGATTCGGTTCCATCGACTGTCACTCCCTGGGTCCTACCATGGAGCCAGTTCCCCAGCCATCGGACCATAAGGTCGTCAAGGCTGCAGTTCCCCAATTTTACCATGAGGACATCATGGGACACCAAGTCAAAGCCTTTTTTGAAGTCCAAATATGATATCAACCTCTTTTCCTTTGTTTAGGTGATATGTCACCTGGTCATAGAAGGAAATGAGATTGGTCAGGCAAGACCTACTCATTTTTTTCCAATATCTTTCCAGGGATTGAGGTCAAGCTGATTGGCCCGTAGTTTCCCGGATCTTGCTTCCTCTCTTGAAGATAAGCATCACATTGGCCCTTTTCCAATCTTCAGGTACCTTGCCTGAGTGCCACTAGTTCTCATATCCTCGCCATTGGCCGTGCTATGATGTCAGCCGTTTCCTTTAGCACTGTTGGGTGCATTCCATCCAGGCCAGCTGATTTGTGGATGTCCAGCCTCTCAAGGTGTTCTCTCAAAGGATCCACGCCAATGATGGGCATATGTTCACCTTTACCCTGGTAATCCTGCATCTTGTCAGGCAGGGTGATTCCCTTGGTTTGGTGGAAGACCGACACAAAGTAATTAAGGAGATTGGCTTTTCCCTGGGTGTCGGTTGTCAGCTGCCCCATTTGGTTTAGCAAGAGTCCAGTGTTGCCCTTGTTTTTTCCCCAGACTTCCCACGTATCTGAAGAAAGACTTTTTATTGTCCTTGATTCCTGTAGCCAGTTTGAGTTTGGTTTCAGCCTGACTTTCCTAGTTTGCTCCTTAGAGGTGTGGGCCAGTGCTGAATACTCCTCCTTGGTGGTGTTTCCTGACCTGCATTCTTTATAAGCTTCTCTTTTTAGGTCCATGAGTTCCCTACTGAGGCAAGGGGGTTGCCAAGCCCTTTTGCTACCTTTCCTATGGGCTGGAATGGACTTCTCTTGTGCTTCAAGGATCGCGTCCTTAAGGAGCGACCACTCATCGTGGACTCCCCTCCCTGTCAGATCAGGGCCTCAACAACTAGCCTTCTGAGCTTGTGAAAGTCACCTTTCCTAAAGTCAAGGATTTCTGCATTGCTGACTGATTTGCCAACTTCAAGATGGATAGAGAAAATGATCAACTCATGGCTACTGTCTCCCAGCTTCCCTTCGATCCTCAGGCCACTGACTAGATCATCCCCTTTGGCCAGTACCAGATCCAGCAGTGCCTTGTCTCTTGTTGGCCTGTAGACTTCTTGAGACAAGCAGAGCTCAGCAATGTAAGTGAGGAAGCTTTGCCGCCAATCAGATTTGGCTGAGTGCTCTTCCCATGAGATGTCAGGGTAGTTAAAGTTGCCTGTGACAACCATGCATTGAGAGCGTGCAGCCTCTGCCAGTTCCCTAGTGAATTCATGGTCAAGCTTTTCCTCCTGGTTAGGAGGTCTGTAATAGACACCTACTGTTATATCCCCTTCACCACATTCTCCCCGTATTCTAACTCAGAGGGTCTCGAGTCGTCGTCCTCCTTGGGTACCAATCTCCACTTGTCGGGAAGTGTACTGCTCCTTCAACATGATCCCTCCTGTACAAAGTATAGCCATCTATACCTGTGATCCAGTCATAGGTAGAGTCCTGTCAGGTTTCCACTGTCCCTCTGAGATCATATTCATTTCTGTTTAGCAGAAGGGCCAGTTTCACCTGTTTGTTCCCCAGGCTCCTGGCATTTGTGTGCAAGTAAGCCTGCCATTGGAAGCCCAAGGCTTCCCTGCACTCCTAAAAGAGTCCTGTCGCTGTGCTGGGGTAGGAGTGATTTGCCTTGTGCAGCCTGACCTGCTGATTTTGTGGTTGACGCTTGTGGGACTTGCACTGGTGGTTGTCCACCTATCCCCTGGTGAACTTAGTTTAAAGCCCGGTCAGGCAGGTCAGCCATTCTGGCTGAAAAGAGCTTCTTCCCCATTGGAGCGAAGTGGAGGCTGTCCCTTCCCAACAAACTGCTGCCTCTCTCTCTCTCAAGTGCAGATGGGTTAAAGAAGCCAAGTGTTTGCAATGGCATGAGGGCCTCAGTCTTCTGTTAACTTCTTCATTTTGTCTCTCCCTCTTATGCCTGTGACCCATAACTGGATGTACTGAGGAGAAGACCACCTGTGCCCCCAACACTCTGAGCCCTATAGTCGCTCATAACCCTGCTGGGATCGCTCCAAGCTGTGTCATTTGTGCCCACATGGGTAAGGAACATGAGGTAGTGGTCAGAGGGCCAGATAAGTTTCAGGATCCTCACCTACGTCTCAGATATGGGTCCCTGGGAGGCAGCAGACCTCACAGGCTAAGGGGTCAGGGTGGCAGAATGCTCCCTCTGTCCCCCTCAAGAGGGAGTCTCCCACGACAACCACTCTGCGTTTCTTCTTATGGGTGGTTGCTAGGTGCTTTTCTTCCTCAGGTGCTGGAGCTGGCGGCTCTGTTGGCTCTTAGTGCTGCGAGGAGTTCGTACCTGTTGTGCAGATCGAGCGAGGTGGTGACCCTGATGCAGCATGCCTTGGGGCTGGAGACAACCTTCGTCCAAGTGACCCCTGGTTGGACTTCATGGAAGCTCCTCTTGTCCACCCTTGTCCTGCCAGCCATTTTTGCTCTTCCCTCGTCATTCTTCAGGCAAAGAGCCTGGCAGTAGGCATTGATCTCTTCATCATCCCTGATGGTGTGCAGCCTCTGCACCACAGTTGAGCTCCCCTATCCAGTACTCCAGAGACTTCAGTGCAGAGCAAACCTTGCAAGGGGAGGTGTCATTGCTCCTGATCCCAGGTGCCTGCAGTTGTACCAGACATCCCCCACAGCTGAGAGTCAGAGGGCTCGTCTGAGTGGAGGCTAGAACCATGGGTTCTGTCTGGGTGGAGGGCTCAGTAGTACCGGGGTGGGGACGACACGCACACACGCAGTCAGGGAGGGGATCTTTGGGATGCAGTGTGTCCTGACGGTGGTATAGGTAGTAGTCTGGGCTGCTGCTGTGACAACCTTCTCTTCAGGCTTGCCGCCTAGGGCTTCGTGCCCCTCCTCTGCGAACTCCCACGCTAACTCACGCACCAGGCCCAGAGCGTGCCTGTTTGCATCCTCTGGTTGTGCAGCTCCCGTTGCATGGTTCCCTGGGGGCCTGGGCTAAGTAGGAGCCCGCGGGATGTGACCCTCCTTGGCTCCTTTCAACTACCTCCTGTGGTTGTCTAGCACCCACCCACCGTGGGCCCCACCTACCCCCCAGCTGTGCTGGGGTTCAGGGTTAGGGTCTGCTGAGTGTCCGCTGGGGTCTTGGGCTCACAGGAGTGCAACGGGCTTCCACCTGTGCATCTCGCTCCAGAGCCGAACCCAGACTGCCAGTGAATCTGCAAACAGAGCCAGTGGGAGAATTTTTCTTCTAGGCCACTTTTGCTATTTCCTGGATATGTTAAAAGCTGAGGTGTAAATCCTGTTTGCAATTTCCGATCTAGGTTGGGACTCTAAGCAGTAGGTCCTTGATGAGGGCAAGTTAGCAACTCCTTGTTGGCAGAATGAGTGCTGTCTAGCAAGGAAGAAAAAAGTAACTGACTGGAGCACGTGAGTTGAGAGAGAGGGCAAAGCTGATAAGTCAGTTTTCTGCCTTGCTGCATTGATGACAAGATGACTGCTAATACAGCATTTGGATTGGTGGCTCCTGTGAAATAATGTCACAGGAGCTTGTGGCCTTCCCAGTTCATGACCTGACATGTTTAATAGTTGTAAATAAGCCCTCCAAAGTCAGGAGTGAGCTATTAGTGCAGGAGCAGATTGTAGACCTGACCCCTGCTTGTGTCACTGCTGTTGCAGGAAGGTCATCCTCTCGCTCTCTGTTTGCTCACTCTGTTTCGCTTGCTCACTGACTCTTTCTCTCACTTGCTCTCTGGCTTGCTCGATCTGCTTTGCTCGCTTGCTCGATCTGCTTTGCTCGCTCTCTGTTTGGCTCACTCACTCTGGCTTGCTCGCTCACTCGCTCTCTGCTTTGTCCGCTCGCGTGCGCTGTTTTGCCCGCTCGCTTGCGCGCACTGTCTTAGTTATCCCTGAAATTCTCAAGCCTTAGTAAATAGGGGTTAGGTCTTCATTTCAGGAGGAGTGTGTAAAGTTACCCTCAAGGTGTACAGGGTTTAAAGAACTGCATTTTTGCAGTTCTTTAAACCCTGTAATGATAATGGCTCCTAGTTTGTGGGAGCTGAACTGTGGCTTTGGGCTTGCCAAAAATAACAATTATTCATTTTTTCTGGTAACAGACAAGATCCCATCTTTGCCAGACTTGACCCCATTGTTCATTACTATTGACCCAGAGAGGGACAACCAAGAAGCCATTGCCAGATATGTTAAAGGTACCGTTTGACTTTCTATTACTAATTGTCTTCCGCTGTACAGCTCTTACGTATTCAGTGATATCTGTTGCAGTTGAAAAGGAGGTAGGGTTGTATCTCATTGGTTCTAGGAGGGAAGGGCTTTGCATGGCTTTTCATCTTAGAATAGTTAATCATTCCTTTTCTCCTTCAGAATTTTCTCCCAAGCTTATTGGATTGACTGGCACCAAAGAGGAGATTGAGCAGGTGTCCAAAGCCTACCGTGTGTATTACAGCCCAGGGCCCAAAGATGAAGACAGTGATTACATAGTGAGTAAAAACACAGTCTTCATCTGACCGCCTGTCATTATAGGTGTTGAAGTAAAAATGAAAAACTGAAAGTTGATTCTGAAGTCATGCATAACAAAGATATATGTTTGGCTGTTACTAGATACTTTTGTATTTGGTCAGGGTCAAGGTACCATTTTACAATGCCCAGAACAAACATGGAGAAATGTGGATATGCTTACGAATTTCAGTGTTGTTGTTCGTTTTATTTTTATCTGGTTTTATTGACGTGGAGGTAGGGTGAGAGAATGGCAGAAGTGTGGGAAATGAAAGTAGGATGTGAAGGAAATTAGAGAAAGCTGCATCTTGTCACCTGCCTAGCCATGACCAAAAGGTAGGATATGTAGGTAGGAAAAGGAGAGGTTTGAAGTATGGATGTTAAGTTGGTCTGCAGATTCCATAAGAGTCTTGATCCCAGTGTAAATGGCAGTATGGAAGAAAAAGCAAATTTTTTTTAAAGGGAGAAAAAGCATTTGTTGCACAATAGAGCCTGGCACCTTTGTTGAGAACCCCTCACTGCACCATTACTTACAGCACAGTGTTGTTGCTGAAAACTCACCATTTTGCTAAAACTGATGGTACCAGAGTGCTGTCAGTGCTCTGCACTTAATGAGCATTGCTTTTTTTCAGAGTAAGCTTAACAAGTGAATGCTCTGGATAAGTGCAAAGCATTTTTCCCAGTCCCAAAGATATGTGCTTCAATGGAGTACTGTGTGCTTACCTCATACAGGTTAAGAAATGTGAAAAACTTTGACCAGGCATACTGAGTTGAGCCCCTATGAGTCTGTTGGATGGGGCGGGATATACATATAAATAAATACCATATTTATCGAAATTGAAGACAGCTGCTGCTTGCCCTTCTATGCCAGTCAGTGTCTGTCCGTTACCTCTGGGTCACCCAGCCAGGTTGCAGGGGGAAAGGGAGGGGGGCAGGCACATACCCTTCCCCCTGCAGCCTATCTCTTTCCCCATGCCTACTTCTGTTCCTACCTGCATTATGTTCCCCCACACCCTTTTTACTTCTCCCCCTCCCCACCAATTTTCTGCTGCAGCTCTGTTCTAGATCAGAGCATCTGGCAGCAGCGACAGCCCTGCGCAGCTACAGCCCAGCCTGGCCAGAGAGAAGTTGTGGCAGCTCTCAGCTGGGTTGGGTTAGGGCTGGAGGTACCAGGGTAGAGCAGAAGGTAAGCAAGGGAGGGGCAGGTAGTGGGAGGAACCTAGGGGGTGGGAGGGGAGGCAGATACAGAGAAGGGACATGCTGTAGGTTTTCCCCTTCTTGAGCTACCCCCTCCCCAGCTGTGTACCCTGTCATCTGTTACATGCACCATTGTGGCCGGGAGCAGGCAGCAGCTCAGCTCCAGCTTCAGCCTGGAGCCCAGGGCCATAGCCAGGGCTGAGCTGCCACTTGTCCCAGGCTGGCACTTGAATCCTCTCCCACTCTCCCTTGCTGACGGGTGGGTGGGAAAGACCTTGGATTTGAATAAATGTGCCCCTCCTCCATGAGGGATTTCCATTGTGAGTCAGTGGTGCTTGACTTGTAAAAGAATTAGGTGGTTTTACAAATTCCACCTTTCCTAAAAAATTTTCTCTCTCTTAAAAAAGAAAGAATATGAAAGTCTAATATTTTCATAGTTGGTAGGGTCGGAAGGGACCTGAACCCCTGCCATGGACAGGAAAGAATGCTGGGGTCAAACGACCCCGGATAGGTGATTGTCTAGCCTCCTTTTGAAGACCCCCAGGGTAGGAGCGAGCACCACTTCCCTTGGAAGTTGGTTCCAGATCCTAGCCGCCCTGACGGTAAAGTAGTGCCTCCTGATATCTAGCCTGAATCTACTCTCAGTCAACTTATGGCCGTTATTCCTTGTTACTCCCGGTAGTGCTTAGGGGAACAGGGACTCTCCCATTGCCTGCTGGTCCCCCTTGGCCAGTTTGTAGACGGCCATCAGATCCCCTCTCAGCCTTCTCTTGTGGAGGCTGAACAGGTTCAGGTCCCGTAGCCTCCACTTATAGGGACTGCCTTGCTGCCCCCTGATCATGCAAGAGGCCCTCCTGGACCCTCTCGATGCTGCCCACATCCCTCCTGAAGTGCGGTGCCCAGAGCTGGATGCAGTACTCCAACTGTGGCCCGACCAGTGTCATGTAGAGGGGGAGGATCACCTCCTTGGACCTACTCGTGATGCATATGTGGATGCATGATGAGGTGCGGTTAGCCTTCCTGACCCCACGTCGGCGGCTCATGTTCATTTTGGAATCCATAATGACACCAAGATCCTTTTCTGCCGCAGTGCTATGTAGAAGGGAGTTCCCCAGCCTGTAGGTATGCTGCTGGTTCTTCCTCCCCAGGTGCAGTATCTTGCACTTGTCAGTGTTGAATCCCATCCTGTTCTCATCCGCCCACCTCTGCAGCCTGTCCCTCTCCTCCAGTGTGCGCATTTCTCCGCACATCTTAGTGTCATCTGCAAATTTGAACAAGGTGCTTTTCACCTCGTCCAAGTCATTGATTAAGGTGTTGACCGGGACCGAGGGGGACCCCACTGCCCAAATCCCTCCAGGTCGAAAAAGACCCAACCACCACCACCACTGTCTGGGTGCGGCCCTCCAGCCAATTTGCAACCCATCTGACTGTGTAGGCATCAACACCACAGTCACCTATTTTCTTAATGAGAATGGGGCGAGAGACAGTGTCAAAGGTCTTCCTAAAGTCCAGAAAGACTAGGTCTCCCACGACCCTTGCATCCAAGGATTTTGTGACCTGGTCGTAGAAGGCCACTAGGTTGGTCTGACATGACTTGCCTCGAATTAACCCATGTTGGTTGCCCCTAAGCATGATCTCCCTTGCTGGTCCCTCGCAGATGTGCTCCTGGATAATTTTCTCAAAGAGCTTCCCCAGGACCAAGGTAAGACTAACGGGCCTGTAGTTTCCTAGGTCCTCCTTCCTCCCTTTTCTGAAAATGGGTACCATATTGGCCCTTTTCCAGTCCTCTGGCACCTCGCCAGAGCACCATGAGCGCTCGTAAAGCTGTGCCAGAGGTCCTGCAATGACCTCTGCTAATTTCCTCAGCACTCTGGGGTGGAGATAGTCAGGACCTGCTGACTTGAACACGTCTAGACCCACCAGAAGTTCCCTGACTAGGTCCTCACTGACCTTGGGCCTGGCTGTGCCTCCCCTGGGTCCGTCGGGGATCCCAATGTGGGGGATGCCCTGGTCCCTGCTCAAAAAGATGGAGGCAAAGAAATTGTTAAAGAGGTTAGCTTTGTCGTCTGGTGTGACCACCAGATTTCCTAGTGTATCCTGCAGAGGCCCTATGTTACCCGGTACCTTCTTTTTACCCCCTATGTGTTTAAAAAGACTTTTTATCCTTGATCTGGGTCGTTAGTCCCGGTTCCATCTCCGCCTTAGCCTTCCTAACAGCCCCCCCTGCAATCTTGGGCAATGGAGGTATAATCCTCCTTGGTGATGGCCCCTCCCTTCCATTGGGTGTACGCCTCCTTTTTAGCTTTGAGATGTTCCTGGATGCTTTTGATGAGCCATGGGGGCTTTTGAACACTCCTGCCCTCTTTCATTCGCTTAGGGATTGTCACCCTTTGGGCTTGGAGGATCGTCTCCGTAAGGAACAACCACTCTTCCTGGACTCCTAACTCCCCTCCCCTCACAATGACCTCTGCTAATTCCCTCAGCACTCTGGGGTGGAGATCGTCAGGACCTACTGATTTGAACACGTCCAGTCCCACCAGAAGTTCCCTGACTAGGTCCTCACTGACCTTGGGCCTGGCTGTGCCTCCCCTGGGTCCGTCGGGGATCCCAATGTGGGGGATGCCCTGGTCCCTGCTCAAAAAGATGGAGGCAAAGAAATTGTTAAAGAGGTTAGCTTTGTCGTCTGGTGTGACCACCAGATTTCCTAGTGTATCCTGCAGAGGCCCTATGTTACCCGGTACCTTCTTTTTACCCCCTATGTGTTTAAAAAGACTTTTTATCCTTGATCTGGGTCGTTAGTCCCGGTTCCATCTCCGCCTTAGCCTTCCTAACAGCCCCCCCTGCAATCTTGGGCAATGGAGGTATAATCCTCCTTGGTGATGGCCCCTCCCTTCCATTGGGTGTACGCCTCCTTTTTAGCTTTGAGATGTTCCTGGATGCTTTTGATGAGCCATGGGGGCTTTTGAACACTCCTGCCCTCTTTCATTCGCTTAGGGATTGTCACCCTTTGGGCTTGGAGGATCGTCTCCGTAAGGAACAACCACTCTTCCTGGACTCCTAACTCCCCTCCCCTCCGGGACCTCAGTGCCTCCCCGACTAGTCTCCTTACCTCATTGAAATCTGCCCTCCTGAAGTCTAGGGCTGTTGCCTTGCTGCTGGCCTTTGACACCCTGCGCTGGATGGTGAATTCCAGTAGGCGATGGTCGCTATCACCCAGGTGGTCGAGACCCCACAGTCCACTCACCGGGTCATCGCCTGTGGCCAGGACCAGGCCCAACAAGGCATTTCCTCTGGTGGGACTGTGCACCTCCTGGGTTAGATGGAGATCCTGTAACTCGGCTAGAAACCTATGTGAGTGGTCAGACCTGGCTGACTGATCTTCCCAGCTGATGTCCGGATAGTTTAGGTCACCCATGGTGACCACATCCCTTGACTTAACTGCCTCCACAAGCTAACCTGAGAATTCCCGGTCCAGCTCTTCCCTGTGGTTGGGTGGCCCATAGTAGACACCCACCGTTAAGTCCCTTTCCCCCCCGACCCCCTTGTATTCTGACCCAGAGCACTTCAGTCTGCCCTTCCTCTGACCTAGTGCTGTTTGTTGAGGATGTGTATTGCTCTTTGACATAGAGCGCCACACCCCTACCTTTCCTCCCTGTTCTATCCCTCCTGTATAGCCTATAGCCCTTGATGTTCACCGCCCAGTCATGCGTTGAATCCCATCAAGTTTCAGTGAGCCCCACTATGTCCGGGTTAGTGTTAGCTAGCAGGAGGGCAAGTTCCTCCTGCTTGTTCCCTATGCTACGAGCATTAGTGTAGAAGCATTTAAGGCCTCCTGAAGGTGCATGCACCGCCCCCCTAATTCCAGTACTATCTGAGCCCCTGTCTCTTACCTGGGTATTTCTTGTGCTCATTGCCTGTCTTGGCTGAGCTGTTCTTGTGGGTGGATCTTTGTTCGGTGTTCCATGGGTCCCTCCATCCTCAACTTCCCCTTCCCCCAATGAGCCTAGTTTAAAGCCCGCCGGAGGAGATTGGCCAACCTGAAAGAGAACACGCTTACCTTTGGAGAGAGGTGGAGCCCACCCCACCCAAACATGTCTCTTGTCCTGAAGTATGGGTCGTGGTCCAAAAAGCCGAAGCCCGCCTCGAGACACCGTTTCCGAAGTTGCAGGTTTTTGTTTAATACAGAACTATTTTACAGTGTTCTTAACTCAGTTTTAGCTTCTCATACTGCAGATGCTTATGCAGAAGATTAACTAATGAATAGTCTCTTTGAAATGAAGGCAATTATTCATATGAACAGATAAGTGTTATGTATTTTCAGGATTGGGGTTTTGATTTTCAGTACGTTATTTTTGTTAATTACAATTTTAACAAATTCAGTTAGAGGAGAACCTACCAGAAATAGTTAATTAATAATACATTTACTCTTAAGTTGCAGTTACACAAACTTCAAATAATTCTTTTTAAGCCATTAATTCAGGTTGAGGCTTTGTAAAGCTTGTCCGATTGTTGTTTAAACTTATTTCAAGCTCTCCACTGTGGTTAAATCACTGGAAGCTTCTTTGAACATTAACAGAATTTAGCCACCAAAGGGGACCATGGAGCATGGCGCACACGTCTTTTCCTGCACACTGAAAGAAAGGTTAGCTGTGGAGCAAAGGCAATCACAGTATTTTTATTTTTTGTACCTTTTGTTGTCTGCTTCAAGAGTGAATTTGGCTTAATGAAGTGTTCTCACCACAGTGTCCCCTTTCATCGTATGAATGTCTAGATCTATGCCTATCTCTTGGCAAGGGGGGAGGCCTCAGAAATAGGCTAGCAGGAGCTGTAGGAGCCCTGCTTTCTCTTAACCCAGAATGCAGAAGCTACTGTGGGGTGGAAGAAAGGAAAATTCAAGGGAAAGCAGCTGAAGCAGCTGTTTTCCTCCCTTGCTGCACTTTACGTTCTACTTTCTCAAAGATTTGAATAGGTGATGACACCTGCCACTCATGAAGGCTCTCCTACATCCATTATCTCTTTGCATTACTTGTTTACAGTTAATTTTGCTTATTTTGTTGCATTTGAGAGTTGAGTAGTTTGCTTGGGCCATTTGTAGTTGAACTATCCTCTATTTTAAGTTCTCTAACAAAGAGACATTTGGAAGGAGAAGTTAATTGGACACTATTCTTAGTGACCTTTTGGGAGATGTTCAGTACTTGTTTCACAATTTGTTCTGTACCCTCTGACAGGTGGACCACACAATTATAATGTACCTCGTTGGACCAGATGGTGATTTTGTGGACTATTATGGTCAGGACAAGAAGAATTCTGAGATTGCGGCTTCTATTGCTGGACATATGAGACAACGTAAATTCAGCTGAAATGCAAGATGTTCAAAGAATGTTTGCAAACCCAAACTATAATGAGGATTGCTACAAGTCTGGCATATCTTTGCTTTCAACTCCACTGACCCAGTGCACTTTATCCTTGTGTCATGAGTCATCTCTCCCAAATAAAAGAGGTACATATCGTACTTAATTTTACAAAATGTATTGTATTACCAGAAATATGTATAGAATATTAACGAATTGATATCTCTTAGAGCAACGTGTGCTGCAAAATGAGGTTTGTGGCTTCTTTGAAATGCTGTTTAGAGCAAAAAATTTACCCTTTTTGGGGGGACCTCATGTCGCTTGAGAGGTTTTTGCCAGAAATAAATGGGGTGTGCATAAGGTAGGGAAGGCTATTTCCCTTATGTAAGCCAGATAGCTGTGGTGTCCCCTTCAATTTTCTGCAGGAGAGGGGAGGTTACTGAAAACAGTATTCTCTTTAACTCACGGGACCAGCCTAAACATAGGGGCACAACTTCACTTAGATGAAATGCTCTCTTCTTTCTTTAAAAACAAAACAAAAAAATCATTCTTGCTCGTAAAATTCATCCCAAACTTGATTCATTTAATTGTTCTGATCTAAATTGCATTCAACACCTTTCTAGGCTAGCCTGTGAAACACTGAATAACAAACTGGGGAAGTAAGGTATTGTGCCGACGCCTGCATGCATAAGGCAGTTGATCAGGTAAAATGTGTGCAGTAATCTGATTGTAAAATAAAGGAATAATTTTGATTCCTCTGGACCAAAAAGGGTTCTGACAGATGTGAGGAAAAAATACACCCTCACACGTTACCAGAACCAGCAGCAAGTTATTTGGACCCAACTCTGTAGCATCTATATAGATGGCACACTTCAGCAGGGCTTTTTGGTGCTTTTATCTAAAGCTGATTCAATCAGCTAGTAGACAAAAGTGCCAAAAAAGCCCCACTAAAGTGCCCAATCTATATAGACATTGGGAAAGCCAGGTGCAGCTAATGCGCTGCCTCTTCTGGGCTTGGTGCAAGGGCATGCTGAGCTTCAAGTAAAGTGCCATTTTTTCCCCTACACCTGCAAGCAGCCTAAGTGACTTTTGAAATCTCAGAACCATCCTCAAAGAGATGAAAAGTTTTTGTATATATCCAGTATAGTACTTGCAGGCTGGAGATAGTCCCTTTTCACGGTAGCTTAAAAGTTGTTTGGTTGGGTAAAATCAATATTAAATTAGCACGTGGACAGCCTGTAGTCCAGGAATATATGCAGCATTACAGAGAGTAGTCAGAGGCCATGCCATTTCATGGTCACAGCAGATAGTCCTCCTGCACAGTTTGTGCCTTTGAAAACACGGTAACTAGGGGTGCACCGATAGAGATTTTGGGGGCTGATACCAATAGCTGATTTTTAAGGAGGCCTATCAGCCAACACCGATCTGATTTCTGATGCTGCTGCGTGCAGCTGGTAAGTCTGTTGTGGTGAAAAGGGAGTGGGGAGGGAAGGGGCATGGCTGGGGCAGGTGCAGGATGGAGCTGCAGCTTGTCTGGGAGGTGCAGGGAGAGGGCAGTGGCTCCTGGGTAGGCTGTAGCTGCGAGCTGGGGTCAGGGGCTGCAGCGCCTACCCCAGCCCTGCTCCCTGCTTCACTGCAGGGGGCATTAATCTGCCCCCCACATGCCCCTTCCCTCCCCCTCCCCTTTCATCACAACAAACTTACCAGCTGCACGTAGCCCTCCATGCTGCTGGCATGCTGGGCACATGCACGGGCATTTATTGGCCAAATTATTGGCCACATCAGGCCAATTTCCAATATAGTCAATTTTCTTTATATTGGTGCCAATCCGATATCAGTCTGATGTATTGCTGCACCTCTAACAGTAAGCAAGGAAAACAATTTTAAAGAGCCTAAGAACTGCTTGGCAAACACTGCCAAGGTCTGTGTATAATCTGGGCAGTTATGGAACCCAGCTTCAGTCCTTAGCAGCAGAAGATTTTGCTTAGTGACAATTCTGAATTATGTGCCCTTGTGCATTTTTAATTCAGAACTGTTGAGGTATGGAGATCAGTATTTCAGGGGAAAGTATTTTGCATTGCTTGCCACATTGTCATCTATAGCAATAAGAACCAGCTGGGTCAGACCAAAAGTCCATCTATCCCAGTAGCCTGCCTTTGAAAATGGCAAGGCACGGATGCGTTTGAGTAGTGGGGGCAACAAGGTAGACCCAGCCCCCCTCCCCAAGTGTCACTCCAATCCCTTTCCCCTCCCATATCCATTGCCTCGCCTGTTCTCCTTCCTGGTCTATCTACCCGTTTTTTCTTCTTGCTGGATCTGTCACATGTTACACAAAGCGGCTGTGCCTGCCACTTATGGCATGTACACTGCAGCTTGGTCACTTTACTTTAGAGAATCAGTATAAGAAACATGGCGTGTGTAATCATCTATCCTGTCGTTATCTCCCAGTTACCAATAGCCATAGGTTTAGGGATGTCCTGAGCCTGAGGTAACATTCCTGACTGCTGTATTTAATACCCCTTCGTAGATTTATCCTCCTTAAATGTGTCAGATCCCTTTTTAAACCCTGAGTAGATTATTGGCTTCAACAAAATGTTGTATGTGTGGAGAATTAGTCTGCCTTGACGTTGAGATTACAATCAAGATTTTTCATAGAAGTAAGGTGCTGTTAAAAGTTACCTTTAAGCCATTCTATATCTGTGGACTGTTAGGCAGTGTTACAATTAGAGCAGCTGCAGGTTGAGGCTTAATGCTGTCTCTGCCCTTCACAACTTTGATTTGTCACTAGAGGGGGCAGGGAGAGGGCAGTGGCTCCTGGGTAGGCTGTAGCTGCGAGCTGGGGTCAGGGGCTGCAGCGCCTACCCCAGCCCTGCTCCCTGCTTCACTGCAGGGGGCATTAATCTGCCCCCCACATGCCCCTTCCCTCCCCCTCCCCTTTCATCACAACAAACTTACCAGCTGCACGTAGCCCTCCATGCTGCTGGCATGCTGGGCACATGCACGGGCATTTATTGGCCAAATTATTGGCCACATCAGGCCAATTTCCAATATAGTCAATTTTCTTTATATTGGTGCCAATCCGATATCAGTCTGATGTATTGCTGCACCTCTAACAGTAAGCAAGGAAAACAATTTTAAAGAGCCTAAGAACTGCTTGGCAAACACTGCCAAGGTCTGTGTATAATCTGGGCAGTTATGGAACCCAGCTTCAGTCCTTAGCAGCAGAAGATTTTGCTTAGTGACAATTCTGAATTATGTGCCCTTGTGCATTTTTAATTCAGAACTGTTGAGGTATGGAGATCAGTATTTCAGGGGAAAGTATTTTGCATTGCTTGCCACATTGTCATCTATAGCAATAAGAACCAGCTGGGTCAGACCAAAAGTCCATCTATCCCAGTAGCCTGCCTTTGAAAATGGCAAGGCACGGATGCGTTTGAGTAGTGGGGGCAACAAGGTAGACCCAGCCCCCCTCCCCAAGTGTCACTCCAATCCCTTTCCCCTCCCATATCCATTGCCTCGCCTGTTCTCCTTCCTGGTCTATCTACCCGTTTTTTCTTCTTGCTGGATCTGTCACATGTTACACAAAGCGGCTGTGCCTGCCACTTATGGCATGTACACTGCAGCTTGGTCACTTTACTTTAGAGAATCAGTATAAGAAACATGGCGTGTGTAATCATCTATCCTGTCGTTATCTCCCAGTTACCAATAGCCATAGGTTTAGGGATGTCCTGAGCCTGAGGTAACATTCCTGACTGCTGTATTTAATACCCCTTCGTAGATTTATCCTCCTTAAATGTGTCAGATCCCTTTTTAAACCCTGAGTAGATTATTGGCTTCAACAAAATGTTGTATGTGTGGAGAATTAGTCTGCCTTGACGTTGAGATTACAATCAAGATTTTTCATAGAAGTAAGGTGCTGTTAAAAGTTACCTTTAAGCCATTCTATATCTGTGGACTGTTAGGCAGTGTTACAATTAGAGCAGCTGCAGGTTGAGGCTTAATGCTGTCTCTGCCCTTCACAACTTTGATTTGTCACTAGAGGGCCTGGTGAGCAGGGGCATGGCCAGGAGCTAGAACTCTATCCCTCATTTTGCGGTTAAGCACTGCAAGAGTATGGAGTGTGGGAAGCATGTGTCCCTAGGTTCCATGCTTCTGCCACCTCGTAGCTCTGTTCTTAGTGTGGAATTACCAGGGATTAACAGCGGTGACAGCATGGACCCAGGGGCATGTGCCTCCCTGTGCTCCATGCTCTTGTCACATTTGGCAGCAGGCAGCCCTTCCTACCGCTCCATCCCCACTGGAATGTGCGATGCTGGGCAGAAAACCATAGCT